CTTCCAGCTATATGACTAAAAGCCCAGCTTTTTTACTGGCTTCTTCTGGAGTCTGCCCTCAGCTCCTAGAAGATGACAGCAGTTCATTGCCAGGTGGGCTTCCCCACCAAGGCCACCTTGCTTCATCTAGCCAGCAGGAAGAGTCCCTTAAGCAAGTTGGCTAGCAAGATGGAGTCTTATATGTTGAATGTAACCACAGGAGTGCCATCTCAACAAGTTTGCCAAATTCTTCTGGTTAGCAGCATAGCACAGGCCCCATAACAGGAAGAGGGGATTTCACAAAAGCATGATCACCAGGAGGCAGGGATTATCATGGGGCTACATTGCTGTCTTTCTGCCCCAAGGCTTATTCATCTAGTTCACATCCATAGCCACGTAAGGCAAAAGAATTATGGAGCCATGTACTGCAGGCCACATCCAGCCCCAAAGCTCAGCAACAAGTCTCAAGTCCCACAATCCAGCATCCAGTCCCACACTCTCAGCTCAAAAGCCACCAGGGAGTCTTCGGATGAGCATCCAGTTCCAGTTCTGAACGTCTCGGTCTATGCGTATACTATACTTTGATGAAAAGTTTTTTTAAATGCTGGGCACATGTTGTCAAGACCTCCTGAGTTTGTGTCATGGGCACATCCTTAACCTTGGCAAAATAAACTTCCTAAATTGATTGAGACCTGTCTCAGATACTTTCAGGTTCATAACTTATATGTATCCTTTCTCAGGAAAATACTGGAGGATGTTTTCCATCTAATCAAGAAAGTTAAGCAAGAGAAAGACATGGAATCCAGGAAACCCAAGGTCTAATTCAGAAGAGAGGAGGAGAATCCCCAGAAATGAAAGACAGTGGAGAGGGCTCAAGAAAAGCCCTGAGCTCCAGCTGCACTGGAACTGGTCCAGATGGAAGAAAAGACTCCCTGAGGTATCTAAGAAGAGGAAATGAGTAGACTTATAGAACGGTACTTAAAGACATTGAAAACACCAAGAGCAGACTTAGACAGTTTGAGGTGTTAGTGCTAAAAGTGTCTAGAATTATTCTTCCCAGTACCATCGCCACCTGCTACATGTGGCTGTTTGAATTTAAGTCAAATAAAAAGTCTAAAACTTCAGTTCTGCAGTCACACTAACCACATGTTGAGTGTTCAATGGCCACATGTGGCTAGTGGTTACTGTACTGGCCAGTACTGGTATAGAACATTGCTACCATTGCAGAAAGCTCTCTCAGACACGACTTGTCTAAAAAAAATTAAGCCAAGGAAGAAAATAAAAGAAATGGAGAAAAATATCAATTTCCAGAAAAACAAGCCCTTGTAGAGGAAACGAAAAATAATATACAGGGTTCAGCTGTGAATAGCCTTTGGCCAATCATGAAAATGTGTACATTGAGTTCTGAATTGCATGTATAGAACTTTATTGAGGAGCAGGAGGTGAGGCTTGTGGTTTAGATGAAGAGAATTAAAGCCTCATCCTCCCAGATGGGAGCTTAGTAAATGATGCCTATGAACAAAAAATCAGGAAGGAGCAATGTAGACATTTTGTTAAGCGTGTAAAGGAATATAACAAAAGATTCAGCTAAAAGAGTCTAAGTGATGTCTCTAGGGAGTGGAAAAAAGGAAAACAGGAAACAGGAATTGCTGATTTAATAGCAAGTCTTACAAAACTTAAGCTTGATTCCTAAGCTATGTGCATATAGAAGTTGATCAAAATAATGAATCAAAGAAATAACAACAAAAACTTACAATTCCATCTCCCTTATCCTGTCTTTTTTGGTCCCCAGGCATGACACTTCTGTATTTTCATATTTAGGGAAGCATTATCGAAGTTCTGCTATTGACACATAACTGCCCTGGCTTTGGTTTGTAGCCAGTTGTACAAGCTTCTAGTCCAATGCCTGTATATTCATAAATTCTTGGACTATTGTCTGATTTTAGAAGCTTCGAGGTATTTGGTATTTCAGTTAAATACAGAATAAAGAGTGAAGCTTCCAATAAAATGTAAAAAAAATGGTAATAGTAAAAATAATAATAGCTAACACTTACTGAACACTTACTATGTGCAAGGCATATAATAAGAACCTACGAATAAATCAGGGTGTCAATATATTCTCATTCCATAGATGAGGCCACAGATAGGCCAGTAAAATAGAACTGTTATTTCATCTCTGGAGGGCTTCATTCCAGATTAGAATCTGCAGGATTTAGTAAGGAGGTGGCAGTGTTTTCCTCCTGTGTGTCTAGGAGGGAAATGTAAGCTGCTCGCTGGTGCACTCACCCCTGTGTAGCCATGGTGGGAACACAGCCAGCTCTCCTGTGAGTCTCTTACTTCTTATGTGCTTTGCAAATTATTAAGGCAACCTGCAGCAGGCCAATTTAGCAGGGGCTTTGGGGCTTTCTTTTAGGAGGAATTTATCCCAAGAGGTCTAAGCCAGGGTAATTTTGTGTGAACTCACTCTTGCCCCCGCTCCTTTTTAGACCCTGTTCCTGGGATGCACACTTCACTATGAATGGAGTTTGTGGTTCTGCTCATCTGTCGTACTTCTTTTACTATCATGGTGGTTTCAAAAGTAATGTATAAAGAGTGTCTTAGTCCATTTGGTTTGCTGTAACAGAAATACTATAAGCTGGGTGGCTTATAAACAGAAATTTACTTCTCACAGTTCTAGAGGCTGGATGTCTAAGATCAGGGTGCTGGCATGGTTGGGCTCCAGGATGTTCTTTCAGGTTGCCGATGGCCATCTTCTCCCTGTAACTTCACACGGCACAGAGAGGGCAAGGGAGCTCTCTAGGGCCTCATTCATAAGGGTACTAATCCCATTCACAAGGGCTCCACCCTTATGATCCAATCGCTTTCCACACATTGAGGGGAAGGATTTCAACATATAAATTTTGGGAGCACACATTCAACCCATATTGTAAAGGTTTTTCAAGGCTAATAATCCCTAAAGATATTGAGATATATACAGAGGAACCCTCATTCTCTATTGGTGAAATGTAAAATAGTTTAAGGATTTTGACTGGCAACATGACAATATCTGTAAATTTTCAAAATGTGCATATATTTTCTGCCTCAGTAATTCTACTTCTAGAAATTTACCTTGCAGATACATTTCATATGAGTATTCAAAGGTAATGCACAGAGATGCTTACTGTATGTTTTGTTTTGCTTTATTTTGCAATAGCAGAAACCTTGAAACAATCTAGATGTCCATTAAAAAGTAATGATTAAACAATTATACTCTATCCAATCAATAGAATTATTTGTGGAAATTAGAGTAGGATATGTTTATGTGATGTTTTATAAAAGATGTCTATTGCATGTTATTAAATGTATCAATTTATGTCAATATCTATATTGAAAATACCTGAAACTTAACAATGACTACCTTTAAGAAGGTCAATGCTCATTTTTTACTTTATGTAATTTTGTACCCTATGTTTTTAAAAATGGGCCTGTGTTATTTTTTAATTCAACAACATGTTTTACATCATGTAATGACTAGTAAGTCGCAATTCTAGTTTGCAGCTACCAAGTGAGTGATCTCATATTATGTAAATATCCTTTGGTCATAAGACCTGTGAGAATGCACAAGATGAACAGGTATAATTAGTTAAGATGATACAATTATGTTAGATTTATTTACTACCATGTGAATCATGGAAAGGGAAGAGGTACATATATTTGAAATATGAGATTACTTTCTCAAACTTCTGGCCTCAAACAAGCTGCCCACCTCAGCCTCCCAAAGTGCTGGGATTTACAGGCGTGAGCCACTACACCTGGCAAGATTACTTTCTAATGTTTAACTNAGAAGTTGCTAAAAAATTGGCCAAAGCACTCTGTGTGTGTACACAGTGGCGAATAGTCAATAAATAATAATTTTCTTCATTGCTAGAGATCCTGTCTAATGTTTAAATAAAAAAAAAAAAAAAAACAACTATTATAATACGTTTAGTCTCAAATCCATATCAAGATATAGGTGACTCACAGGGGTTTTGCCTCAGTACAGGAGCAACCCAGAGAAACAGCAGTTCTGTCCTGTAAGAGCCTGTGATTTCTGTTGCTATGCGTAAGGATATACAGACTTACAGACAGAATTAGATTTTAAACTAGAAAAAATAATTCAGGAACAAAGAAAGCGCAAGAGAGACATTAAGCAAGTTTTAAGGAAATTGTTGACAGTTTTTACAAAGGAACTGACTTATGTTCAGATTTGCCAAATAGGGCATTATTTTCTCTGTAAGTTACTGATTTCCGTTTTATCGGCTCTTGCTGTTCAAAAATTGAGCCTGTTTGTGTCCGCATTCATACGTTGCTTCTGGGAGCCAGGAGTCATCTGAATTAATAGAAAATCACTAACTCAGTTACATACCAGAGAGGCTCTGTATTCCTAGCAGCTTGCCTTATCTATGGAGGGAGAAGGTGCTAAATAGGATTTTGGTATACCCGCCTTGTTTAGTAACAGAAAAAGGATGGGGTCGAATCTTTCTAATTACACCCTGTGGATATCTTATCTAGTGCCATAGTCAAATGTTTTCACCTTTAACTTCACTCATCACATTGTTAAAAATTGCTTTTGTCAACTTGATGTTTACTGGGTCTTATTCCTCAGTTTCTCCCACACTAACAGCAGTAATTTACCTGTAGCTCACATGGTGAATCTTACCAGGGTGAGTGCATTTGCTGCCATGAAGACAGGACAACTGACGTGAAGAAAGCAGCTATGGAAGCGTCAAAGCCTCTCAAAGTCATGCTATTTTCCACTAAATTCTTTTGCATGAACGTGACATTGAATGGGGACTCAGTAAATGGGAAATTCAACCTCAAATTGAACTACATAGCCTGGAAGTTAGGTAAATTTGATTCCTTTTGAATAGTTCTAAGCAAGCAATTTGTTACCCTTTATCCTTTAGAGGAATTGATGAACAGGTGGTTTTCAGAAGATCACTTGGTAAATTTAGCTTCTGAAATTTGAGCAACTCAAGATCTGATTGGTTGCCCTTGCCACATGATGATTCGGAGCCCAGGCATCACACTGGCTTTTGCCTGGGGTTCTCAGGAGGGGAGAGTTGGGAGAGGCTTTGCTGCTGAGGAAATTTATTTGGTAGATTGAAGGTAAGGCCAGTTTATGACTTTTTCTGTAATACTCTTTCAGGAGATGTTCGACCACTTCCCTTGAAGTATTTCTCGAAGATTTGGGCTATAACTGAGGAAATTAGTGGTAGAAATATGGCTGGAAAAGTCTAACCCCATTGCCCTACTGAGGCCCTACTAATATCTGCTATGTACAGTGTGGGATTAGAGTCAAGTCCTATACTAACCAACTTATTGCTCGACTGAGTTGGCTCTCTTGTCTAACATTTTTTTGCATTTGATATTTCTCCCTAAATATATTTATGTGAAAAAGAAGATATGTTGCCCTATGTTCCTATATTAATCCTGTTCTACTGGGCTTCATTTGCCTGAGGAGTGGCAGTTTCGCTAGCTCAACAAAACCAGCCACTGCAGGGTATTGGCTTACACGGCAAACATCTTTGGATGAAGGGACAGCTGTTCTGACTCATCATCCACTTCATATCAAGAATCCCACTCTCTGGCGTCAAACTGTAGAGGCCTTGAGAGGTCCTTTTGCTATTTTCTGCATTAGAAGCTTAGGCTAAGGACTGACAATCCTATATGTACTTCAATCATTGCTTTACAACTTCGTTGTTTTTCAGGTTTGAACGAGAGCTACAGAAACAAAAGAAGAAGTCTGTAGAAGCCAATGGTGTTCGGGAAGAAAATAACCCCATTGCCTTGAGGTTTCTTTTTTTCTTTTAAAATTTATTGACATGAATTTTTATCGGTTCCAATATGAAGTCTAAGATATACTGCAAACAGTGGATCAGGGCAGTATAGAAAACTAAGTCAGCCCTCTTAGAATTTTGGTGCTGGGGGGAAACATGTCAGCCTCTTCTGAAAGCCAAGCTGACCTTCTTTCACCACATTTTTTGCCAGAAAATGTCTTTTCTCAAAGTGTTCGAAAGTTTAAATTCTCTGTTCCCTGAGTCCAAACTCTCTCAATTTTCTCTCTCCCTTTCCTCAATTTCCTTTTGCAATTTTAACTAAATTGATTATGTAGAAGTAGCAATTCTCAACACTGAAGGAATACAGAGAAAGAAATTTGAAGCTTCTGCTGCTTATACTAGTATTTTAAATGTCTTCTCTCCCTGAGCCTGCAACAATATATGAATTTATGCAATAGTTTAGCTTCAAATTCCAGTTTTATAATGTCATAAGATAATTTCAGTGCTGGGGATAGACTCTAATGTGTTTTCATTTGTACGGAATATGAAAAGTTTGTAGGTGCCACTACTACTCTGGAAAAATGGCAGATGACGAAGAATATGAGGAGGTGGTGGAGGTAAGATTTTTTTAAAAAAACACTGACAGCAAACTGTTTTATGTAGTGACAATCAAAGCCATGTAGGTGAATTAATCATTTGAAAAATACGTTGTCTATTATAACTTCACAAAGAGTCACCATTTAAAGCATAAGAAAGGAATATTTTATGTTCAGTTTCACTGTAATTACGTGGGATTTAGAATTGAAAGGAAATATCACTGTTTCCCACTTTTGCTTTTCTTTAAGCTCTCAGAAAACTAAGTGTGGAGAAAAGGCAGCTTTTAATTCGTCTTCTAAAACTACTTTCTTCCCCAGTTCCCAACCCCGATGTTCAAAGGGCTAGCGATGAAGAGAAAGTTGTGAGAACAGAACTCTGTGTCTTAGTGTCTGCATTATTCAGAATAATCATATGTGTGAAATTGTATGAGCATGTGAGACTTTATACATAATATGTACACATATGCACAGACACACACATACACGCAAATATAAATAAAGGCATGAAGGTCACAGCGACAGTTGGAGCCAGACCTTGCCACCAACTTCAATATATTTACCTAAGTAAACAAGACTAGCTTTTGCCTTTGAATTTTGAATAAGAACAAAGACTATAGTGGGTATCTTGAAAATTTTCCTTCCAATTCTTGGTGGACATCTAACATATTTTACAAAGCTGTTAATCATTTATTTTATATTTATTTTACATCCTTTTGTTTTTAACATCTTATGATTTTTCCTCACCAGCTCTTGCCTTTAGCTTCACATTCAGGAAATAAAACCAAAGGCTTGGAACTATAATTCACATAAATACAGTGCCATGAATCTGAATGTGCTTACGAATTATCAATTAATGATGATGATTTAAACATATGAAAATCTCTAAATGCCTAAGGCACTTGGAGGCAGTTCTGAAAATCTGTGCTTTTTAATAAGACTAAAATTAACTGTAAGAGCTACCCAGAACCAAATTCCAGGTGGCAGTGCCAAAACTGGTCTTTGGAAAATTATTTTAGTGACCAGTCTATATTTAGATGAAGAAAATTTGTTTATTCTATGAATAAAATTGCTTTTATCACTTAACGACATGAGGGAAAAATAGAATGAATCTCATACAATGTAACACTAAACCTCTCTGGGTTAAATGCTGATGACATCTTTCATGCTGATATTATCACTAGTGTGCATTTTGCTTATGTCTCTAAGGGTCAGAAATATCACTATCAAACACTAATACAATTATAAATTAAATTATTTTCCCTGTGATAATAACGCCAGTAGCAGTTTCTAGTCTCCAACTTAAATATCCCTTGTCTTTCTTAGAATAATTTTATACCTTTGCCATTGGAAATTGTCCTTAGTGCTAGACTTGATTGATTTAACTAGATGTCATAATAATGGAGGGGGCTATTTTTAGACATCCCAACCCTACCATTTTGTTTCCATTACAGCTTCTGGGTCTCACCAGCAGGTGTTAAACGAATAGACTGCCTGCCAGAAAATATTGAACAGAGATCTCTTTGACCTCAAAAAAGATCACGAGCATGGGAGGGTGGTGCGTTCGAAAAATTGCCAGGGAAGATTTTAGAAAACAGAGAGGAAATAGCTTTAAAAATATGCAGAAAACAGAGAAGAACTGGCTTTAAAATATATATCTCCTTGGGAATCTTGGACATCTGAAATAAAGTATTACTGTTCTCTCTACTCAAACTTAACTTGGAAAGAAAGAGAAAGAAGCAAGGATGTACTATCTAATTAGTGGCATAGCTCTAAAAGAAGAGTGAGATTTGGCATACAAATTAATGCCAACCATTTAAATAATGTTGCCTCTTTTATAAGCGTGTTTCTAAGATGGATTTACCAAGGGTGAGAGCTCAGCAAAGGTAAAATTGAATGGCTTCCAAAGAGCTGCTTTTACTTGGATACTGAGAAAATCCAAAATAGTTGCGAATCTTCCATTTTAGTTTAATCTTTCTTCCAAAGCCACTGATGTTTTGTGTGACCATAGGAATGACTCCATGTGGCATCAGCGTCAAATAATATTTCCTAGAGTGTCCAAATGGTATTTCTCATGTGCTAACGTCACAACTGTAAAAAAACAATTTTCTGTCCTGTCAGTGCTTATGATTTTTGTTGTGATGTGTAACAACATACAGGCAGAATTAGATTGTAAGTTAAAAGAGTAGCTCAAGAGTAAAGAAAGGACAAGAATAAGGAATATTAGGGCAAGTTTTAGACAATTGTTAACACAGGTGAAATAGAGCAGGCAGCCTATTGACAATGGTTAAATAATTGGATGACAATTCACTGAACCAAGAAAGCAGGCCACCGAGGGAAATTTTGCATCTTAATGTTTTCCCTTCCCTTGAGTACTGTATATGTTTTGGTGTCAGAGATAAGTGAAAATGAAGCATAAAGTGTTATACATCCATTGTTTGACTGAGAAGTGAGCCAAGCGTTTCATCTTTATCCCTTTCCTCGTGTGCTTGGCCTAAATGAGCCTCGCCTTCTGTTCACCCTACAGAGCAGGGTGAGGCTAAGGACAAGATTCCTCTCTCCTTACACATCTGAAACAAAATGTCAACCAGTTCCTTTCCACATCTATTTATTGCTGGTGATGTCAGAAGTAGAACAAAAGTAGACTCGGTTTCAGAGCCAGGCTGCAGATCCGTCATGCAGGCCATGATGACCTCAGAGCCACCATGGCAAATGGCAGCCTACATTTCCCACACTTTGTGATGAAGAATCTTCTCATTTTCCCCTTCATCTCTTAGCATTTACAAATTGAGGACAATCACACTATTGAAAGGGATTCACCCATCACTCCAGAAGAAACTGATAACTTACTAATCAGGGAGGTATAGGAATAATTGAGATGTGGATACACTTTGGGATCTTATGATTCCCATGATACAATCCATTTAAAAATGCATTCACACTTGAGTTACTGTTTTATTTTATTGTTAGTTTGCAAACAGTGAGTTTTATCACAGTTCCTCTCTGCCCAACCCACACACTCAGGATCTTTTTATTGTATTCTCTTCTCAGCAAATTCTATCTTGGGGACCATAAGAAAAAAAATTACATGTCCCAGTAAAGTAAAATAGCTTCTCTTAATTAAAAACAGCCTGATACACTTTTCTCAGCCCTCTGCACCTCTTTGTCCATTCGGGGGGCATCCACTTTAGCTTTCCTCAAGTATTACAAGGTGAAAATGGGTTCCAAAGTATGAACAGGCTTTCCCACAGACATTCCAAATCAACTGAGCTAGTGCAGTCACCTAAGTGGTTCAGCTGAGGAGAGGCGAGGTGGTTTCTGCTTTGGTTCTCTTGCCAACGCCTTTGTGCTCTATTTACAGTACTACACAGAAGAAGTGGTTTATGAAGAGGTGCCAGGAGAGGTAAGGCTCAGTCCACAGCTGCATAAACTGCATTCTCATTAAAGCCGGAAGAGCTTTCTTCTTTTTCACACTCCCAGGGCCACAAAAATAGCAAAAGAGATTATCTGACAGAAGTTCATCCACCTACCTGTGCCCAGAAGCTGGTGTGAAAACACAAACATTACCTGTTTGATGGGTTATTTCACCTTTTTTTTTGCTATTCAACAAACCCAAGACAGCAGGGGTTGGTTCCCCCTATTGCTCGTGTGGGAATTTTTGTGTGGATGACGCTAATTAGAATGTCAGCGGCTATCACCATTAACCAACTGTAGCAGAAGGGATGGTCTTGGATTTGTGATTGGCATAGGAACAAGCAGTTTTGTTACGTAGCGTTGTAACTTGTAGGACACCATCTCTGCCACCAGGGATAGTGCCTCCAAGGGTTTGTCCCTGGTGATGCATTGAAATGCTACTCAGATTTTAGCACATTAGGAATTCTAAATAAGCTATTACCATAAATATTCCAAGTTCAAGCCCTTTTTTTTTCCAAGGCGAAATCCCTAACTCATGCTTTATCTTCTTCATGAAGCTGTTTCTCTTTGAGCATGACAAACAGTGATATGGATGGTTAATCCTGAAGCTTGTTCAGAGAACCTGTGACTGCACAGAAACTAACATCTATGGATGCTGTAAATTGGTTTCTCACAGTCAACCATGCCTTAGTAATCATGTGCAGAAAACAACCTATTAGCAATGATGTGACAACACTAGAAGGGGGTTTTATAAATGTACAATTTCCTTTCTAGGTTCTCTTTTCATAATTGATGCTGAAACTCTCTCTTTGGTACAGATGGTATTAGTTGTGAAGGGAAAGATACTGTGAGATGGATTGAAGACTTGGCTGCTTATCTTTTTTTCTTACATGCATTATTTTTAACCTTGGACTAGACCCAAACTTTGAGTCTTAGTGTCTTCCACTATAGCCTGCTGTAAGAAATAGTAATTTCCCGCCTACTACATAGATTGGACTGTTGTGAGGATAATTACCCCATTATGTTATCATCATTATTCTTGTCCAGCTAAGCATTTATTCGTGTAAATGGTACTGCAGTTCAGTTCACCTTAATTAACTGACTAAGCCAAGGAAATGAAAATATCTTATAATATTGATGTGATTCTTTTTTTAAAAAAAGTTCATTATTCTTTGTCTCCTACTACAGTGGAGAATGCCTAAAACCCTGCAGAATGAGTGACCGATTTTCCCTTAGTCATTTACAAGTTAATATTAAAGTCAAGAATTTGAGCTTTGTTTGATTATCTTAACTTTTTGTTCCCCAATGTCAAGTTTGCTTTTACTTTACCCAGACAACTTGATTTTCAACTGTTTTAAAAAATAGTTTATTGCTGATATTTCCCCCTACTTTGAAGTATTTGGGTGTCTTTCTGCAAATGTAAACTTAAGGCAATGGTGTCTTTCTGCAAATGCAAACTTAAGGCAATGTTGCAAAGTAATAAGGAATAAGATTTTACTCCACACAATCCCAACAATCAGCATTCAGATTTACGTAACATAATGTGCCTTCATATGGCTTTAGTGTGTGGTTTTCTGCTTTGGCTTACTTTAGATCTGGAAAAGTAACACCAGGAATGTAAATCTGACTTGAAGTTAGAATAATATATACTGAGATCATGGTAGCACAGTTTTTACTTTCACGACAATGTTGAACTCCGTATCAAATTTTCAGACAATAACAGAAATTTATGAGACTACGACAACAAGGACGTCTGACTATGAGCAATCAGAAACTTCCAAACCCACTCTGGCGCAGCCAGAACCAGCGAAGCCAGCAGAGAGGAGGAAGGTCATCCGGAAGAAGGTGGATCCTTCAAAGTTCATGACCCCCTACATTGCACACAGTCAGAAAATGCAGGATCTTTTTAGCCCAGTAAGTTTCAAACAACTTCTGCTAACCTGGTTTGATTATTAAGAAATTACTGATCTCAGCCCACTCTGTTTTGGATACTGGCTGGATTTTATTTCTCAAACTTGTATGAAACAAAAACTTATTTTGAAAAATATGGGCTCTTATGACTGTTAAATTTTTATTTTATGCAATTCATTTGTACCATTGCAGCATGAGAAAGCATTCTTATTGAAATCATTCCTGCAAGATAAGCACAAGGCCAATCATAAAGCATTTATTGGTATTTAATCACTATTAGCCTATCTAGAATTATGAAATCATAAATATAGATTTAATTGAGGTCAGTTCACAGAAGCTACATAACATATTTAAACTATGTCAGCAGAATAGCTTCTTCAGTAGACTAGCTAACAGTATATAAAAAGGAATATAAAGAGTTGTAGGATGAAGAAGAACATTTATTTTAAAAAACCAAGATCAGACTAAGAACTCATTTGAAATTGAGGACCTAAATGTTTGACTGTACCTTAGAACAGTGGTTGTTAACCGTGGCTTCACACTGGAATCCTCTGGGAGTTTTAAAACTCCTGATGCTCAGGCCATTCTAGTTTAATTGGTTCAGAGTTAGGACCTGTGCACAAAGACTTTTTTTTTTTTTTTTTTTTAAGAAACAGAACCTTTCTCTGTAGCCCAGGCTGGAGTGCAGTAGCTTGATCATAGCTCACTTCAGCTCCAGACCCTTAGGCTCAAGCAATCCCCCTGCCTCAGCCTCTCTAGCAGCTAGGACTATAGGTGCATGCCACAATGTCTGGCTAATTAAAAAAAAATTTGTGGGAGTGGGATCTCCTATTTTTTTTTTCATAGAGGCAGGGTCTTGCTGTGTTGCCCAGGATGGCCTTAAACTCCTGGCCTCAGGTGATTCTCCCATCTTGGCCCCACAAAACATTAGAATTACAGGCATGAGCCACCATGCCAGGCCCTGTGCAAAAGGGTTTTAAAAAGCTGCCCAGATGATTCTAGTGCAGCCCAGGTTGAGAATAACTGCTCTCAATGGTTCCTGGTCCTTAAATTCCCGTGTACAGTTCTGTAAGGTGTATTGACTGACAGCAGATTTAGATGCATTTTAATGGGTCTCATTTGTTGATTGTCTGTGGTGGGTTGAGGTCTCACTAGGTGGCTTGATTGCACATCCTATGGAGGCTTAAAAAAAATAAAATGTAGCTTAAGAGAACATTGGATTCTATTAACACTAAAGTTTATGTCAAAACCATCCTATTGAGGTTGACCAATAAATATTCACTTTTACTTAGGTGATAGCAGCTCATTATTTGGTAAATTTCTAATTGAGAGCCTTGAATAATCTAAGACAGATTTCTAAAAACAAGATTTTCTTACCTTCTTTAGTGCTGCAGTATTCAGCAAGGATAGAATTTTTTTGTCACTATATTGCCATAAATTCTTATTAATTCAGATCCTATGAACCTAGAATTTCTGATGTTCTGAACAGAATGTCAGCAAAGATCTATAATAGATTTTAAGTGGCTAGTAACTAAATCAATAGTACAATTTAGACTGTTGACTACTATACTCAAGAGTATTCCCAAAACATTTATAATGATAAATTATGCACATTATCATTAAAGCAAGAATTCATTGTGTATTCAGCAGAAATAATGAAATGGCATTCCTAAATTTACAGAATACTCTGTAATTCAGATCTGCCATTAATTCAGTTGATGTCTCAGCTATCTGAACTACTGAAGTTTAGCGGCAACTTGTGAATTGAATATTTTTGTATTGTATTAGCAATCAAATCTTTTCAGAATTAACTAACTCAACTTCTATATTAATTTTCTAAAGTAATTGAGGTTCAGGCTTTTTATATATGCATTCAGACAAAAAAAAAGATTGATAGAATCATTTTAGGATATTTCCAAGACAATAGTCTGTAATAAATTTGTATTGTCTCCAAGATCCAACCATGTTTAGGAGACACAATTATCAAATCTATTTTAGTTTTTTGCTGAGAGTCAGGGTAGGGAACAAAAAGAAAGCTGTTACAATTGATAATTGTTATAACTTGAAGGATTTTTTAAAACATCAGATGATGTGAATATGTTGCCTGAAATTTTTGCCACTGTCTTGTTAGGCTAATATCGGACATTCTTTTCAGAACAAATACAAGATGAAGTTTGAGAAAACAAAAGGACAGCCATACGCCAGCACAACAGATACCCCAGAACTTCGCAGAATCAAAAAAGTACAAGATCAACTCAGTGAGGTGGGCTGCATTGCTGAAATAAAAGAGAGAGACATTCCTACTACTGGGAATTGTGGGCTCCAAATATGTGCTGGGAGAATAAGGAATTGAATTACCGTGAGCTAGGTCACAAATCTAGAAAAGCATCAGCCATAGATCATGTTGCTGTAAATGTGAAACCAAACAGACTTCTAAAAGCTTGGCTTAGCCATTTAGCTTAAAGGAGACTATGAGTGGAAGCTCCAACTCACTGTGGTCCTCAACCCTGCTGCCAAGAAGCAGCAGGCTGGAAATCCAGCCAGGCAAGCAGACAAGCAGTAAATGCAGGTGCTCTTTTGAAGATCACAATTTTCCAGCTAAAATGCAGAAACTATGCTTTGTGATACAGACCTAGAGTTATTGGGGTAATGCTCTGTGGTTGTTAGAAATTCCTTAATATACTCACATGTTCATGGCTGTCATGAATTCTAACTGTGCATTATTTGAGCAGGTTAAGTATCGAATGGATGGTGATGTTGCTAAGACTATCTGTCATGTAGATGAAAAAGCAAAGGATATTGAACATGCAAAGAAAGTGTCGCAGCAAGTCAGTAAGGTAAGGCAATGATATTGATGGCTGGGGTACTCAGTAGCATATGCATCACCTCTGCATGGTCTTAGAGGAGAAAATTGGACAGGCCTGATCCCGCTTACCAGCCTCATAGGCAGTATGAAGTCAATACATGCATTCATCAGGGAGGCTGCACAGATGACTGAAGTGGCCTGTAGAATGTATGGGTGGTTGGAAGGGTCGATTTTCTGCCCAAAGAGGCAGCTGTGACTCGGCTCCAGGTTGTTGCTGCATGGAATACAGTCCCAGTGTCACCAAAGAAGCTGAGGAGATAAATTTTTAGTTGAAAGAAATTAGAATTCTAAATCAAAAGCTGACTATTGTAGGAAGAGTATTATAGCATGTTGGCATGGTCAATGTTTTCCTAGTAACACATCAGCAGCCTTTGAGCCAGAAGCCTTCAGGAGTCTCCCTTTGTTGTTTAAATCCTCATGCCTTTGGGTGAGACCTCAAGCCACAGGTCCTCTCCTCCTTCTATCTAGGTTTTATACAAGCAGAACTGGGAAGACACCAAGGATAAGTACCTGCTTCCTCCTGATGCCCCTGAACTTGTCCAGGCTGTTAAGAACACAGCCATGTTCAGCAAGGTAAGGGCCTGCTCCATCGTCACTTCTATCTCCCCATGTCATCCCATCATACACTTTATATAATGCTTGGTGAACTCTTGATCATCCGGAATACAATTCCCCAATGTTTTTATGAGTAGCCTTGAGACATGAGAGACTGCAGGGGTGGGGCTTGATAAAAGGAACTGAGAGGCAGAGTGGGGAGAGGGTCCTTTGGGAACTTGAGCAACCTGGGCGCAGAGGGGAGTGTCTGTGGAGAATAAAGGTGTGCTGGAGAGCCAGCTAAGAGAGCCTCAAAGTAATATCTCAAAATTTTCTGTAGACCCTGTGCTATACTTTGGATGTCCCTGGCTATTACTCTAATTAGAGGTTTATTTTGTGACCCATCTTGCAAGTGTACTATATTGCCCTGAACTAGTGCTTCCTGGCTCCTTACATTGTGCTAGTACTTGTAAGTGCTATTAATAAACAATGACAACAGCAACAACAACACAACAATAACAACAAAAAAACAACAACAAGGCAGGTAGAGTCACAGAGAAGAGATGAAACAAAATTGGACCCATCTGCCCCTCTGAAAGTACGAAAGAGAAGCAGGCCATGCTATCAGTAAAAATGAGTTGGGTGGAAAGGGGGAAGTTATTTGTCAATTTCATTTACCTTTGCTTTCACCTGGTTCTCTGGGTCATTGATGGATGAATTCAAAATTATGTATTTTGTGTAAATGTGACCCTACCTCCTCCTAACTTTTCACTCTTTTTTGATTTAGAAACTGTACACCGAAGACTGGGAAGCAGACAAAAGTTTGTTTTACCCCTACAATGATAGCCCGGAACTGAGGAGAGTTGCCCAGGCCCAGAAAGCTCTCAGTGATGTAAGTGAAAAGCAAGCGGCACCATTTAGGTGTGCAGAGTCAGGGGAACTTGAATTACATCTTCTGGGCAGTTGGTCACTGCAACTCTTCTTTATAAGAGGATAAATGCTACATTTCAGAGGAGATCTAGAATCATTATACTTTATGATGTCTCATTTAAATTAGATATAATTTATACCTTATATTAAATATAATCTAATCCAATTCCCTCTTCTTATAGGTGGCAAACCTGAATGTGGGGTCACATTAGACCCCAGGTTTGTGAGCCCAAGACTAGCATTCTTCCCGCTAGAGAATGAGTCCTTCTTTTCCCTTGGCTCTGGTTGAAGTTGTTCTGTGACAACAGAGTGGCAATTTTAAAAAGCCTGTTGTAATCATAACCACCTTTCCAAATCTATTAAGTAAACAGTGTTATGGGAGGGTTGTGCCTTGTTATCCTAATCATCAAGTCCAAATTGTGGTGTGTCTCCCTTTTTCTGTGTGTGGGACCTGACTAGTGTACTTGTTGAAACATATTTATGACTGGGTGTGATAACACCTCTGCAATCCCAGCAGTTTGGGAGGCCAAGGTGGGAGGATTGCTTGAAGCCAGGAGTCTGAGATCGGCCTAGGCAGCAAAACAAGACGCCCATCTCTACAAAATATATTTTTAAAATATTAGCCAAGTGTGGTGGTGCATGTCTGTAGTCCCAGCTACTCAGGAGGCTGAGGTAGGAGGATCACGTGAACCCAGGAGGTCAAGGCTGCTGTGACTTATGATCAAGATGCTGCACTCCAGCCTGGTCAACAGTGAGACCCCATTTTAAAAATAAACAAACAATGACAACACCAACAACAACCAAACAAACCAAAAACACATTTGTGTAATTATCCCACAAAGAGCTCTTGCTATCAGAAGATACTTTAGTTAGTGAAAAATCAGTGAGCCCTCTTGCCAGAATTTTGGCATCCTAGATCTTGAAAACCGTGTGTTAGAGGAACTTAAAAGACTTACTAGAGTCCTTAGGTTTGAAACCAGCAGTAGCAGCAGAGAGACACACTTGGGCTAGCACTCCCCCTTGTTTTCAGGTACTTTCTCGCATGACCGTTGGATCTGCCGGAGGCCATATTGAAAATCCAGACTGCTACTCCAGTCTTCAGTAGAGCACTGTATTATAAAGTGACAAGTTATTTGACAGTCAGTTGTTGATCAGAACCCTGGAACCTCATATACTCAATTTGGACTTAGTAAGCCAGTTCAGACTGACTGGAATTTACTTCTAATGTCTCCTAGGATCTGATCTTGCCCTAAATCAAAATAATACATACCAATTTGATGGCATCTCTAACTTTTGAGGTCTAATTTTTAATGCCACCCTCTTAATATCACCTGCAAATTTAGTGGATGTCTTTTCTATTTCACTTTCTATGTAATTAATTCAAATATAATAAAGATATGCTTCTATCCTTCAATAGGTAAGTTAGGAAATAGAGAAGGTCTAACAAAATTTTCAAGTCATCTAGCACATGGTACCAATTTTAATGTGTGAGTACTTCTTGCTTCTCTTTCAAAATTAGCTTTGTGGTTCTGTATCTCACGTATTCACAATATTGTTGTGTGGCTGTTATCAAGTGATCCATAGTTATTTATTGAAAGTCTATTATGCATGCATACCTGAAAGGATAGAAAAGTACTACAAGCAGTTTTCATCCCTTCCTCTGAGAATTTATCATCAGGCTGGTAAAATAAATGTATTATATATCAAACAAGAAAAAAAAAAGTTAAAAATGAAACAAAACACAATAGTCTAATACTTGCTACAAGAAAGACAGGACACATGTGAGTAATCAGAGAAGGCCATGTGGAGGTGGTGATCTCAAGGGCATGGGTAGTGATGAAGAAGAAAGGCATTTTGAGTAGAGGGAGCACTTGAACAAAGGGACACAGGCAAAATGAGGTCTGAGCTTTGAAGGACCACAAAAGTGAATCATGTGAGTGCCTCATTCGGAGAGCACTTGTGAGAATGCCGGGAGCAGGACCTTGAAAGGCATACAAAATCGCTTTGACATGGAATGGTAAGAAATAAGGAGCATCATAAGATTTTGGAGAGGAAAGCGGTATAATAAAAGTAGAATCTGGGGCTGGGCACAGTGGCTTATGCCTTTAATCCTAGCACTTTGAAAGGCCAAGGTAGGCAGATCACCTGAAGTTGGAAGTTTGAGAACAGCCTGACCAACATGGAGAAACCCTGTCTCTACTAAAAATACAAAAAATTAGCAGGGCATAGTGGCACATGCCTGTAATCTCAGCTGCTTGGTAGGCTGAGGTAGAAGAATCGCTTGAACCTGGGAGGCAGAGGTTGCAGTGAGCTGAGATAGCACCACTGTACTCCAGCCTGGGCAACAAGAGCGAAACTCTGTCTAAAAAAAAAAAAAAAAAAAGAAAAAAAAAAAGAATCTGGAGTAATTTTGATGGGCAATATGGTAGATTGGGATTAGGAAAAACTGGGTAATTTGGAAAAATCTATTTTAGTAATAATTAGGGCAAAGGGGAGGAAGAAAGGAATCTGAGAGTAATAAGTATTAATAAGCATGAATGGCATTGCATATTGGAGACAAAAAAGAGAAAAAATCCATAGAGGATCTTCGGACTGTAGACTGGTGGTCTGGGTGAGTAGGGGCACAGCTGTTAAAGATGCATTCATGGAAAGAGAAATGGAATTGAGATGATTGAAGGAACATTCAGATCAAGGCATCCTATGGATAAATTAGAAAGTTAGTACCCTTGCTCAGGTATGAGACCAGGGCAAGAAATTAATATTTGAGAGTCATCAGAACAAAGTGATGGTTGAAGACATGAACATCTATGAGGGAGGCAGAAGAGCGCACGGCCAAGGGCACAGTTTTGGAGGACACCCACACTTAGGACTGAATAGGAGCCAGCCAAAGCATGAGAGAACAAACAGAAAAGTTGAAGGTGAACCAGGAAATGCCATGTCATTTAAGCCTGGGAGAGGTTTCCAAGAAGACACTTAATCTCCTCTCTCCCTTCATCTATCAAATGGAGAGATGAAGGGTTACCTTCATGCCATTCTAATGCTATGGACTTTAAACAATTAAAATTGGCCACACGTTTTGAGCGATTACAGTAGAAGACGTAATGAAAGAGAATGTACAATAATGAAGTAAAGTCTTCCTCGCTATTCCTATTCCTCAAAAAGATGTGGCAGTTAAGGCATAGCTTTTACTTTTATTGCAGACCAAGTATGCACTCAGTGTCAGATTACTGGCATGCCTATTAATACTGCTGTCAGCACTGTGAACTTCTACAATTACTGGGAACAGAGCCCTAAGCAAGCTGTTGTTTGCAGAACATACCACTGGGCAGGCACATAGATTTCTAGCTAAGGACTTGGGTTTAGAGGCTGTCGCTACCTCTTCTGTACCTTCCTCCTGTGTCTTTCTTAACCCTAATTATCATGTTTTTCTTATTACCTAAGTAAAGATAAACTACTTTGCACACACTTAGAGTCTTTAAGCTGACGCAGAGTACAGAACTTTTTTTTTTTTAACTTCTGTTGGTTTTCTCCCTAACAATAGAATTCTAACTAAACAGAATTCTGAAGCAGGTTCCTGAGAAATCAGGACTTCTAGATCTGATTTGTCTGAAACTTCTTGGCAGAATGTCAGACTTAATAAGCATTCTCCTGTTCAAATGTTGCTTTTTCCCTAAGGACTTAACCAGCCATGAAAAATCTTGTTGACCTATGCCTAAAATAAAGTCTTCAGTTGTTTTTTTTTTGAGACAGGGTCTCACTCTGTCACGCAGGCCAGAGTGCAGTAATATAATCCTGGCTTATTGCAACCTCCACCTCCCACAATCAAGCAACCCTCCCGCTTTAGTCTCCCAAGTAGCTGGGACTACAGGTGCACACCACCATGACTGGCTAATTTTTGTATTTTTGGTAGAGACAGGGTTTCACCATGTTTCCTTGGTTGGCTGGTCTTGAACCTTTGAGCTGAAGCAATTTAGCCGCCTTTGCCTCCTAAAGTGCTGGGATAACCATGAGTCACTGTGGCTGGCTTAACTTATTTAAAAGAATTTAAGCAGTGGAATTTGTGTAAATACATTTCAAAATCTATCTTTCGTATCCCAGTTGATTTGATGCCCACGAAAGCTTTTGTTATAGGCACTAGGTGGGTATTACTGGAATAAGATATAGTTAGACTTAGAGTATAAAGATGATTGGAACCTTGGGATTATTCAACTGCTTTGCTTGATAAATAAGAATACTGCCACGTGGAAGGGAAAATAATCTGTAGAAATCTCACAGTTGTGTCATTGTAGAGCATGAGGATAATTCTCCTCTTGAGGCATCCCCCGCCATGGCCTCAGTGTGTAAGACACACATTGAGATGTCAGTCCTTGACTCTTGCTCTAGCCAGAAACTATCCAGGCAACAAGGGTTCCCAAGGATAGGACATCTTTGCCATCCCAGAGTTCACAGTCCAAGAGGAAAGAGACATGTAAACAACAAATTACAGAGTCATCTGATGACTCCTTTAAAGGGGCTAAGGACCAAGCTGAATGAGGTCCCAGGAGAAGGTCATTGCATCTGGTTCAGGAGTCAGGGAAGGTTTGGGAGGGGAGTCATGCTTGTCCTGAGCCATGGAGAGGAAACAGCGGTTTGCAGACAGATGGGAGAGGGAACAGCATGTACGAGGTCCTGAAGCATTTGAGGGCCTCGTATGTCTGGGGATCTGTGCCTAGTTCTGCATTGTTGAAAGCCAGGGCCAAGTCTGGTGGAATAAAAAGCCGGAGGAGTCAGTAAGGAAGAAAGAAAGTAAGGCAAGAGAAAATGATATGCATGATTCATGGGTACCATACCTATTTTAAGGTGTTAGAAGTCTTTTATAGGCTGAAGGGAAGGAGCTAATGAAGGAGGAGAGGTTGGAGTTGTGAGAAAGAGGAGGGCTGACTGAGAGAGCTGGGTGCAAAAGGATGTACTGGAAGGGGCCGCAGCATGGGTGCAGGAGCCAGTCGCTGTGAGGGATGTTTCTTCTCTGATCCAGGGCAGGGGTGGGAGAGGAGGGATGAATACGGAGAAGGTAAGTGTGTAGCATTTCTTTACTCTATGAAAGAGGAAGCTGAGAGTAAGGTGGAATTGATTGTGGGCTTAAGGACAGTCTTGAGGTTTTAGACTGGCCTCTGAGAATAGGCTAACCAGAGACTCATAATGAGCTGTGCAAGCTTCCTTGAAAACAAAGTGGCATTTGTACACCATAAGGTCATAGAGTATTGGGAACAGAGCCCCAAGCAAGCTGTTGTTCACAGAACCCACCACTGGGCAGACACGTAGATTTCAAGCTAAATGTTAGAGTTCAGAGGTGCCCCGCCCTGTACCTTCTTCCCTCTTACCCCTATTTACCTTGTTAGCACTGCCTGATCCATGGAGTTGTGGGTTTTCTTTTCTTTTTTTTTTTTTTTTTTTTTTTTTTTTTTTTTTTTTTTTTTTTTTTTTTTTTTTTTTTTTTTTTTTTTTTTTTTTTTGAGATGGAATCTTATTCTGTTACTCAGGCTGGAGTGCAGTGGCGCAATCTCGGCTCACTGCAACCTCCGCCTTCCAGGTTCAAGCAATTCTCCTGCCTCAGCCTCACGAGTAGCTGAGTTTAAAGGCACCTGCCACCATGCCTGACTAGTTTTTGTATTTTTAGTAGAGACAGGGTTTCACCATGTTGGCCAGGCTGGTCTCAAACTCCTGACCACAGGCGATCCGCCCGCCTCAGCCTTCCAAAGTGCTGGGATTACAGGCGTGAGGCACCCGTTTTCTTCTGTGGCATTCAGCATCCTAGGCATAAGAACAGAGGAAGTATATGGTCAAGTTGATCCAAGGCTGGGGGTTTATTAAGTGAGTGTGATAAAAAGACAAGAGGTTGGGAGTTAAAGATGCTGGTTAAGAGAATAATTGAAATTGCGAACCATGGTGTGGAAACAAAGGGAAGAAAGCAGATCTAGGGTCATGAGTCCTGAGGAGGAGGGAAGAAAATTAAACAAAATAGAAATCACCAGCAGTACTGAGAGCAAGGGTATGTGACATCTAGAAGGACAAATTATGATAACATGTTACACTAAAATTTAAGACTTCAAATAAAGATGAAAGCATAATCATTTTTAAAATACATCCCTGTCTTTTATTTCATCAGGTTGCCTACAAAAAAGGTCTCGCTGAACAGCAAGCTCAATTCACGCCTCTAGCCGATCCTCCAGATATAGAATTTGCCAAGAAAGTAACCAATCAAGTGAGCAAGGTAAGTAAATAGAGCCGGGACTCTCCCTCTCTTGAAAACTCTGCTTAATCATTTCACCTATCGGGAAGGTTACTAAAGGTGAGCCGGAAGATGAAACACAAACACTCAGAGTATTTTTACATATGATCCCCAAAAGCTCTACAGCAAACGCAATACATCCATAAATGTCATGAACTATGTTAATGAATGTTTGGCCAGCTTGATGACTCAGTGGTTGATAAATGTGAATGTCACTTTTTAGAAACAGAAGCCACATCCTAATGTCACTTGACATTTTCACTTATGGCAGTAATACTACAGAGTCACCAAATAAGCACACACTTCCTTGAAGAGCTGGTTTAAATTCATGGTGAACAACTTGTATAGTTTTGTTGAGACAGAGCCTCGTGCTGGAGTGCAGTGGCACAATCTCGGCTCACTGCAACTTCCTCCTCCCTGGTTTGAGCAATTCCCCTGCCTCAGCCTCCTGAGTAGCTGGGATTACAGGTGTGTGCCACCATGCCCAGCTAATTTTTTTGTGTTTTTAGTAGAGATGGGGTTTCACCATGTTGTCCAGACTGGTCTCGAACTCCTGACCTCAGGCAGTCTGCCTGCCTTGGCCTCCCAAAGTGCTGGAATTACAGGCATGAGCCACCGGGCCCAGCCAACCTTGTATAGTTTTATCCTATCAGTCAGACTTATAAAAATAAGAATGTATCTCAGACATACCTTAGTTAACAGCAGTGAGCAGTGGACCTCATAACTTTTAAGCTGTTTGCCCTAGCAAACAGCTTAGTCTGCCTATATTTAGGCTAATAAACTAGCTCTGGGGAATGTGGCTCTGATGAGGAATGCAGAGAGACAGATGCTCTGCTGATGAATAGGCCCATGCTCAATTCCTATTTTAAATTGGTCCAAATCAGGCCACTTTCTCCTGGGATACTGCTGCTTTTAAATACTTTATCTTGCCCTCCGTGGAGTTGAGCAGTTTGTTCTTCTGCTTGAATTTTGATGAAACCTCAAGATTTTTATCTTAAGCATTTTCTGAGTAAAGTATCTAGTAAAGAAGGATGAAATAGTCTGGAAGATGATGTCTATTCAGTGATGTTTGTCAGTGTTCGATATTGCAGATTACCTAACTGTGAGCTGTTTGAATAAAGGATCTAGTAAGTATAATAAAAGTTCACTAATAAGAATACTACCAATCTGAAATTTTTCCCAAGGCTAAGCAGAAATTAACTTTAGAACTGTACATAAATACATGGTCCACTGAAAGTATTGATATTGGCCAGGTAGGGTAGCTCACGCCTGTAATCCTTTTGGGAGGCTGAGGTGGGTTGATCACCTGAGGTCAGGAATTTGAGACCAGCCTAGCCAACATGGTAAAACCTATCACTACTAAAAGTACAAATAATTAGCCAATCATGGTGGCGGGTGCCTGTAATCCCAGCTACTTGGGAGGCTGAGACAGGAGAATTGCTTGAACTCAGGAGGTGGAGGTTGCAGTGAGCCAAGAGTGCGCCGTTGCACTCCAGCCTGGGCAACAAGAGCAAAATTCTGTCTCAAAAAAAAAAAAGTGTTGATATTGTAAATAAGATGGGGGAGAAGGATAATTTATCTTCTTGGAAGAAAAATAAAAAGGTGTTTTCAAGTAGTCATTTAGAAATAAAAATGAATCTATTTTTAATTTTTTATTTAAAGTCTATTTTAAAAGAATGTTTCTTTACTAAAGAAATATTATTTTGCCTTATTTAAATATGTTTTGTTGAGACAGAGTCTCATGCTGGAGTGCAGCGGCGCAATCTCAGCTCACTGCAACCTCCACCTCCCTGGTTCGAGCAATTCCCCTGCCTTAAAAGTGATTTTGGAAAATTACTTTTGAACTCCTCTATAATCATTCTCTCCACCAATTTAGACTTGCCAGTTGGTTTAGCACTGTACTCTTCAGCACAGAAGCCACTAGCCAAATGTGACTAGGAAGCACCTGACTTTGATCAGCATAAACTAAGCATATAAGTCAACTTGGGCTTCTGCAGCAAAATACCATACATTGGGTGGCTTAACAGTAGACATTTATTTTCTCACAGTTCTGGAGGCTGGGAGTCTAATATCACAGTTTCACTTCCTGGTGAGAGACCCCCTCCTGGCTTGTAGATAGCTGCCTTCTCATCGTGTCCTCACACGGTGGAGACGCAGAGCAACTCTGGTCTCTTCCTCTTCTTATAATGACAATAATCTCATTATGGGGTTCCCACCCTCATGACGTCACCTAAACTTAATTGTTTTCCAAAGGCCCTTACCTCCAAGTACAATCACATGGTACTTGAGAGTTAGGGCTTCAACATGTGAAACTGTGGGATGGAGACACAGACATTTATTCCCTAACACTTAGTGTCCAATATGTGAGAAATAGACACTGGATCTTGGATACTTAATTATGAAAAAAAGAATGTTTCAAATTAATATTTAATATTGATCACATGTTGGAATGTTAATATTTCAGATTTACTTGGTTCAGTAAACTATATTATGAAAGTTATTTCTCACATGTTTCTACATTTAAAAATGTGGCTTTGAGAATGCCATGCATTATATATGCATTGGATGGCACCATTCTAGGTGGACAAGGTGACAATGTTGGATACATTGAAAGCATTGCCAGAACTGGCCTTGCCCTGTGGAGTAGTAATATGAGCTAAGGGGAAGGTGGCTGTGAAAAAATCACTAGATCTGGCCATGGTGACATTATTTATTCCCAGTCTTACCCAGATTTCTGAGTTCTTTAATGCCTTGTGCATCCAAAGTAATAGTTGTGTTGGGGAGAAATGCTTGGGATTGGTAGAAGTCCACCCAACAACAAACCATCCCACAAGGGAGGCACAGGGCTTCTCAAAGTGACTTACCTCTGGTACTGTCTTCCCTCCTCACTCTCAAGATGCCTTGACCCATGTTGCAGCAGCATCGTGTCCTCTTCCTCCCTAAAATAGGATTAAAGTCTCCTTTATCTACTTACTCGCATGCATTTAAACTCAATATCCCCTTGTTGAATCATGTTGCTCAGATCCATCTGTTGGGGCCAAGGGTTCCTCCTTGGCCCACTGAAGTTTGGCTGAAAAATCAACTTTGCAAAAGGCAGATTGATTGAAGAAAATGCATACAAATTTATTTAACGTGTACACACGGGAGCCTTCAGAATGAAGCCCTAGCTCCCCAGGAGGTGCTGAAGCTTATATACCATCTTGAAGTTACAGAAAGACTAGGAACTTGGATTCTGGCAAAATAGGTTATGGGGAATGGGGAGAAGAAGAATTCTGTTAAGGGGCAAGAAATGATCACTAGGGAGAATTCAGTAGGTTTGAAGAACATATAGTAGTCTGGGGTGAAGCCTGTTGGGCTCACAAAGCGAACAATGACTTTTTGACCAAAGTTTGTCCAGGTTTGTTGACAGACTTTAGTCTTCCTTCCTGAAATATAGATTCAGTTGAAAACTCAGAGAAGGGGCCAGAGGCAATTGATTTATTCTTTCGTAGGTCCGGATCTTAGGCAGATAAGCAAACTTGAACCTGTGCTTTGGGAGAGGTAGAGGATTTAAAAATGTGGCTATGAGAATGACTTGCATTACATATGCATTGGATGGCACCATTCTAGGTGAGCAAGGTGACAATGTTGGATACATTGAAAGCATTGCCAGAACTGGCTTTGCCCTGTGGAGTAATAATATCAGCTAAGGGGAGAGATAGGATGTGGCAGGGGTGGGGCGGGTGGGTATTAGGAGGAAACAATTGTTCTCCTTAGTGGGACTGTCTGGTCTTTATGTAGACAGAAAAAAGTCTCTTCTAGTTTCCAAGCTTCCATCAATCTCTAAGGGCCTTTAATTCAAAATACTCATTATACTAGGGAGCCATATTTTGGGTGGAGCTCTCTGCGCATCCTCACATCCTTTTCTTACAGCTCCCAATTCAGATGGTAATAATTGCATATCTGCAGTGATTACACTAATGTTACATGCCATTTGCCAGCCTTTCTTACTACACCTGTCAGAATCAATTCTCTCACCTTTGCCTTTGGCCAAAGCCATCAGCTACTTACTTCCTTCTGTCTCAGCTGTATTTTGTAGCTCTAACATAGATGAGCAGGTAGAGTTGTTCATTGAAACAGGCCTTCCAGGTGGGGAAACTATGTACCCCATAACCAGCTGAAAGTGGGGCCCTGAATAGAAGACGGGGAAGTCCCTTTAGTTTCTCTGTACCTGCCTCTCTGCTGCCTTCCAGAGCTACAAAAGAAAAAATAGAAGGTTTCAGATTGGAATTTCCCATTGATACCAACTGGAGCCTAAACTTAAAAAAATAATAATCTTTCAGTAACATATTGTTACACAGCATGAAGAAACCAGGCTCTGGTCCTCTAATACCATGGAAATTCTTCTATCACATAGAATTGGGAAGATTTCCATTGATTTCACTAGAAGAGATTTGATTGAGTCAAGCAGACAGCATTGGGCCCACTGTGGGCAATAAAAATACCAGCTGGGTTCTTTATACCCTTTCTGCAGGGATAACTTTTCTATGAATGGAATCATCAGGAGTCCCAGTGCTTAGCTACTCACAGAAGAAAAGGGTAATTAACTGCCTTCGTATTCCTTTCCATTTGATAGCCACATAAAAATTACAGATGCGGATTTTGAAAGTAGATAATGAAGCCATGCGTTTAAGCAAGACAGCAGGGTACCTAGTTTATGGCCCCATGGAAGTCCCCTCAGCTGACCTCTGAGGAGAAGGGAAACAAGTTTACTGTATCTATGGACACATGGTCACCCTCTTACCCAGAGAAGGTGTCCCAGAGCTTGTAATTGACCTGACATACTTTCCTCTGTTAAACAAACCAAAAATTTCTAGAGAAGTTAAACTGACGGTTTCTTCCAAGTTTCCATCACCTGCAAATATAACAGAGTTTGAAGAGACAGGTTTTCCCCTAACCTTTCTCTCCAACTCTGTTGCGTTTGGATGTTGGGAAGGTTGGATGTTGGACCCTAATATGGGTAATCTGTCTCCATGTATTATACAAAAACTCTGGCCTTACTCTCAGATGTGCAGAGTGAGACCCCTTGGCTGGTAGAGAGGGTCCCGCGTGGACACATACCTCTCTCTTCTTCTCACTCCTCCACCTATGGACCTTTGTCCTTTCAACTTCTGGCCTACCCACAAATGAGGCAGAAGGCCATAACTTCCTCAGTGGTCAACAAGCTCCAGCCTCCTCCTATATCATGAAAATCTTCCCAGACTTGGCAGTGCTCAGGAGTGGATTGTGAGAGCTCTATCTCCACCCTGACCCATTTCAGCTGCTGGGTAGGAGGAAATACCTGCGGACCTGGATAGGTCTGTGAAGATTAAGAAAGACGGAAGGACTTTGGATGAGGGGTTTGAGTGATCTTACACTATTGTTTTGCATGGTTTTAATATCTTCTTAAAAACCAGACATCCATCTCTCACTATGAGAATTAGTCTCCTGCTCAATTATCCTTAACAAATCTACATATACAATGCCTGTTTATTGATAAATGTCCAACATATAGACCTCATTAAGAATATCTGCTACCTTCTCAAATTTAAATTATATTTCAAAGTATCTCAGTTTTGGGGATCAGGCCCAATTGCCCCTTCCCAAACCCAAGGTTTTTCTCCTTTAACAGCAAGCAGGAGGTAGGGCCATGTCCCTCCAAAAAATGATAGATTAGGAGATCCTAACCTGAGGTATATGTACATCAAGAACCTCTGAAGTTATAACTGTTTGTGAGCATTTTATAGCTTTCTCAATTTCTTGAAGAGGTCTGTTTCCAAAAAAAGATTAGAAACATTTCTATAAGTAGTCTTAGAAAATCCAAAAATCAATTTTATTGACTTCAGTTCTTTAAATCTTCAAAACAAAGTGCAGGTAAATCAATCAGCAGTATAACATGCATCTTATCTTAGCAAAGATTTCCACTGAAGAACTTTTCCCTCCCTGCACATACAATTTTCTTTCTTACAGAGTTTCTGACTTTCTGTTATGATGATGACAATAATGATAGCTATTATTATTATTACAATTGTCATACCCTACATTTGCTTAGCACTGTGGGGTTTACAAAGCACTCTTCAGTGAATGATCTTATTAAGCTTCCCAGCAGGCCTCTCTGTAAACAGTATCACCAGCACTTGTGGCTGAGACAACAGAATCTTGGAGAGGCTAAATAACACATTTGTTCATGACAAAGTTAGGTCTTGTTCCCAGAGTTTAAACCCAGGCCCAAGACTCTAAAATTTATAGCTACAAAAACCAGTTGGCTATTATTTTGCATACTAACCTTTTGAGAAGAAAGGAAATTAGGCATTTGAGTGATGGCTAAGCTTCCTTTAACCCAAGCTCATTGACTCTGCACATCATTCACCTTTAGTTCTTCTGTTAAAGGTATACCAGAAAGACACTTTCTTTTTCCTTAATGGGAATTATGGAGATGTAGGCACATGCCAGTGCCTTGAGACCCATTAGTTATGTCTGTTAACACATTTTTATGAACCATGGAGGGAAAATTGCTCTAACTCAGCTTGGGCTCTGGCTCATGAGCCCAGGTTTAGGGTTAACTTGGTTAACTCTCGGTTTAGTGTGGTTGAACAAACATTTATGAGGTAACTTCTGTGTGCTGCATTTTGTGTTGGGTTCTGAGGATAAGAAAGCGAAGATGATACAGCACCTCTCCCTTCCAGGAGTGCACAGACTGGGATTCAGATGGAGTGGTGTTTGGGAGTCAATTGGGGCAATAATTCAATTTTTGAATTACTTTCTAGTTCCTATTAAATTTAGCTCTAAACTAGAAGGTCTACTCGTTAGCCTGCAAGTTGAATTTTATTGTGGTTATTGCTTTCTGAATAACTAGGGGTTTTGGTGAAGCTTAGAAATTAATGGCTGAGTTCATTTGACATAGAAATTTCAGGTTGATAGGTTGTATTGTAACTCTGAAATATAAATAGAGGATGACTTCTGACTCTATTTCTTTAAACATCAGGGGACATCTGCAAGTTCTGAATAAATGAAGTCCCCAAACTCAGCAAGGGAAGGGGGCATTAGTACCCTCTTTCTCCGTTCTCTATGCCCCCTCACCCAACTTTCTGGTTGGGTAAATTGACACTACATTGGAAGACTTTTTAAAAGACATTTATTAAGGACCTAAGAATGGCTTGCAGAAGATATTTTTTAAAGTTAATCATTATTTCTTAATTTGCTGCCTTATTTGCCAATTCATGAGTTGTGCTTGTCTTTTCCTTTTTTTCTTTTTCTTTTTTCTAGCAAAAATACAAACAAGACTATGAAAATAAAATCAAAGGCAAATGGAGTGAGACACCTTGCTTTGAAGTTGCAAATGCCAGAATGAATGCTGAAAACATCAGCACAGTAAGTGAGAAGGGCTGGCCAGGGTCAGTCATCCTGGGAGGAAGACCCCTTTCCTTAGTGACTTCTGGCCACCTGCTCTACCCAAAGGGGTGCCAGAACACTTGAGGTCCCTCTTCTTGGGGCAAGATCTGGTATAGAGTTCCTGTTAAGAAAGAAATCTCACAAACTCTCTTTCCTTTTGAGAAATATTATTTTGGTCAAATGCCATTATTTCTACCTCAATTTTCACAGGCACATTATGGTGAGACTCTCTTACCGACTGCAAAGTGCAGTTAGTACAAGTTAAAGGACTCTTTTTAATTTATTCTTTGCCTGAGGTGCCAAACTCTATGGGTATGGAATTGATTAATTTAGTGTCTCCTCACTGGAAAACATAAATCTAACTATTGTTTTTCTTTTCTTTTAAGTTTCCTGCTCCTGGCCCTTAAGAGCCCTTTCTTAGTAGCCAAGAAAAGCCTTTCTAATTCTTTTTTTAGCCTCTTCTAATTGTTCTAAATCTCTGTTAAAAATTGCTAATCATTTTTGCAATGATACCACAATCTTTAATTCTAATCTGATCAGCCTAAACCAAGGACAGGGTGACTTTGGGTAACTTTTCCAAATCCCTGTGTCTTCTCATGTAAACCCTTGTATAGTTTGTTTTCACAGCAGTTCTTTAGCTTGTTTAATGTCTTACAGAGGAAATATCAGGAAGATTTTGAAAATATGAAAGACCAGATCTACTTCATGCAGACTGAAACACCAGAGTATAAAGTGAATAAAAAAGCTGGTGTGGCAGCTAGCAAGGTACGAGGAAATCATCCCATTTATCTTGATGGTTTGATGGTGGATGGATTTCTTGTAATTTTGGCTCTGGTATAAAACTAGTAAAAAGGGGGAAGGGTGGTTCTTGGGGGAACTACCAGGGTTGAGATCAGCGAATGCGAGGCGTTTGAAGAAGAGTAGAATTGAAACAACAAGAACAACAACAAAAGTACTTTGGAATTATCATAGGGCTACTTAAAAATGTTTGGCCATGTATGAGCATTAATAATATCTAATTACTATCTTCAGTGTTTCCTAGAATAATTTGTTATTTGCCTGAGGAACCAAACTGTACATTTATCAAATTGATGTAGTGTCTTCTCACTGAAAAGGCCTTTTGCTATTTAGAAGTAGAAAGAGTGTAATCTTAGGGAGCAGGACTTCTCCCCCCAGAAAGAGGCAATTGATAACCTTATATGAAGATAGGCACTCATACGTTCAATACTATCATTGTTTTTCTTATTTTCTCACTGACTACAGAAAAACCTAGTCACAGGTTCATAAATCCATAGATATTTCCATACGCTCTATTGAGTGACTTTGGTAAATAGTCTGATGGTCACTAAAGAGAGCATAAACTTTGAAGCCAAACACACTCGGTTCTAACCCTGGCCTTGGCTGTGCCAGAGGAGAGAAAGCAGGATTACATCACTTAGAAGGCTATTATAGCATCCACGTGTAAGACAGTGGTGTTTTGGACCAGGAGGGTAGCAGGGCAGGTGATGAGAAGAATTTTGAAAGCAGATCTGATTTGCTGATATATTGGATGATGCAGGTTTTGGCCTAAGCAGTTAGGTAAATGGGGTTTCCCTTTATTGTGACAGGGAAGACTATGGAAGAAGTTGGTAATTTTTTTGGAGGACAGACAGGAGCTCATCTTCATACATGGTAGATTCGAGATGCAATGCCTTTTAGACATCCACGTGGAAGTGTCAGTGGTCAGTTGATTACCTGAGCCTGAAGTTTCAGGAGAGATATATGGAAAGTTGTATAAACTGGGGTGTTATCCACATACAGAGAGTGTTTCCTGCCATGAATCTGGAGAGTATCAAGGGAGTGCATGTGAATGGGAAGCTGTAGGGACTGAACTGTGGGTTATTCCACAAGAACTTATATGTGAGACAAGAGAGAACAAAACAGGAGAGGGAAATAGCATTGGCAAGCTAGTGAAGGGGAAAGGGAATCACCAACTGTGTCAAATGTCTCTGAAATGTATTTACCAATGTCTGGTCTCTGGTGACCTGAACAAGAGCAATTTGGCTGAGTCTGCTTGGAGAGGATTCATGAGTGAATGAAAAGAGGGAAATTGAAGATACAAGTATATTCCACTCTAAGTATTTCCCTGGTAGGCAAAGAAGAAAATGGGCAAGTAGCTGATGAAAAGGTGGGTAAAGAGGGACTTTTTGAGATAGGAAACCAAAACATCATGCTGATGGAAAGAATCCAGTAGAGAGGGAAGATTTGGTGATGTTGGAAGTGGGAAGAATGGCTGGGGTGATATTGTAGAGTAGATGGAAGGGGAAGAGATCTGGTGCTCGAGAGGCGGTGATGGCTTTGCCACAATCCCTGGCAGTTCATCTGTTTAACAGGGGAGAAGGCTGCGTATCCCAGCTGCAGGTAGGGGGATAGTACAGTTTGTGAATCTGCTTTCTAGTTGTTTGTTTTTCAAGGAAATAGGTAATTCTCTAATGTAGAAAAGCATTCTGAGTCCCTCATTCCTGTAGCATACCCTTGTGATGCTCTGTGGAGGCTGAGGGGTGGATGCCTCTGTGCTTCTGTTATGTGTCTCTTGCCCTTGGAAATCAAGCTGATTGCTTTTGTTTTTTGAGGCTCATAAGTCTTGGGTTTATCTAGGATTCCTTGAACTTCTGTGGTGATATTGCCTGAATAAAGGGCTTACAGTGGGGATTATGGTGGGAACCAGGATCGATTTCTTGTTCTAATCCCTGTGGATAGGGTTCTGGTGGGGGCTTGTGAACCCCATCTTCCCTATTCTCCCCTAATACCCCTCAACTTGCTGCTCCTGCCATAGCTGGAATTAAAGGTGCAAATGGGAAGGGCAGAAGGGAAAACAAGCTTCCTTCTCCCCACTCCTTCCTCGTCCTCCTACTTGTACATTGAATACATGTGTGCTCCACGTACCATCGCAGGTGAGGCATAAAAGGGTGGATTAGTGGTGCTTCTCGCTTCCTTTCTTTAGGAGCGTGTTGGCAGATAGGTAGCTGGGCGTTAAGAGCTGAGTGAAGGTTCTACAGCAGTAGGTATCTGGGGTGTCTTGCACGGTTGCTATTTTCATCTTTTTCTCTCTCCCATTATTTCTGTATCTCTCTCTTTGAGGGCAAAGACAATGTGTTGTTCTTTCTTATATCTGTCCTCAACCCGGGCACAGAATTGAAACCCTGTGGATAATTTGAAATGAATAAAGGAATGGGAAGAAAAAGCATGCTAGAAATTTATGCAGTTTCTCCTCTGCTGTTATGAGTTACTATGAGTATTTTGTTTATAAAACGTCAAGCTGCCATTTTTCTAAAGAGAAAATTGATTTGTGGAAGTATGTCAGAATATCCATAATAGAGACGGGGCAAAAATAACCCAGAGAGTTATTTTATCATTTTATTTCACTCCTACAGGTAAAATACAAAGAAGACTATGAAAAGAATAAAGGCAAAGCAGATTATAATGTGCTTCCTGCTTCAGAGAACCCACTGCTTAAGCAGCTGAAGGCGGCAGGAAATGCCCTAAGTGATGTAAGTATATTTTTGTCAAGAAGTGTTTTTAAACCTTAGCTGCAAAAGAGATGAAAATTTTCTCATCTAATGACTAAATGCATATATAACTTTGCAAATACTTTAAGATTATGGAGTGGTAGGTTCATTGGAACTATCTAACCACAGAAAGGCATGAGTTCCTCTGAGTATAAAGTGCCTTAATGTTTGTGGTTCTGTGGGGTTAATTCAATGGGCAGGGACATTCTCATGTGCTTATGAGCTCTGGGCACCTGGGCCTCCACATTGTAGATGTGTTGTGATTTTGACAGAGGCAGAAGGAGACTTTCAAAGATGGATCTTGGCCTCAGAAACCATCATTTGCCAACAGCAGAACTTAAAAGATGGGCCCCTAAATCTTCACAGGACATTCTAATTGTGCAATTATTAAGAGCCCGACTAAGCCGTTCAATTTAAAACAGATGAGGCAAATGAGACTGGGCTAGGCATTAAAAGACAGCCAGAGAGAGAGAGAGAGAGATTGAGATTGAATATGTGATAACTTGAGTTTATCTCGTATGGTTAGGTTTGCATTAAACTTTCCTAATATTTGTGGATTTTATGCAGCTGTCTGTGTGGGTTAGTGATCTTTTCTTTGTCCCTTAAACTCAGCAGCATAGGAAATACGTGTGTGTGATTGGGGAGCAGGTGGGGAAAGAGGCAAGTGAGAGAGTATAAATGAATCTGACCAAATAGGTCTGCTGGAAAATCAGTGCAAAACGCTTTTGCTTTCTTTTTAAAAGTATTTTATTTCGGTTGTTTTTAGGGGTGCAGGTTGTTCTTGGTGACATGGAAAAGTTCTTTAGCATTGGTTGTGGAGATTTTGCTGCACCCATCACCTGAGCAGTGTACACTATAAGCAATACTAGTCCTTTCTCTCTCACTCCCACTCCAACCTTCCACTCAAGTGTCCAAAGTCCATGATATCATGTTATACCTTTGTGTCCTCATAGCTTAGCTCCCACTTATATGTGAGAACATACGACATTTGGCTTTCCACGCCTGAGTTACTTTATTTAGAATAATGGCCTCCAGCTCTATTCAAGTCATTTCAAAAGACATTATTTCATTCTTTTTTGTGGCTGAGTAGCATTCCATGTTGTATATACACCACGTTTTCATTCTCCCCTGTTGGCTGATGGGCACTTAGGTTCCACATCTTTGCAATTATGAATTGTGCTGCTATAAACATGCATGTGCATGTGTCTTTTTCTTTTTTTTTTT